CATAAATAATTAAGATGGCCTTTATTTTCAATATTTCTGGAGTTTTTCAAGTTTAAAATGTCTAGATAAATTCCTGAAATTTCTAACAATGTAGCTATATTTAGAAAATACAAAGAAATGTTTTATAATATTCTGATAATATAGAAATATGTTAGAATATTATAAACATTGTTGCAAATATTTTTAAAATTTTCATACCATGACATTCCCCGAATTTCGGAAAAATTTTTGCGAACGCTCACTCGGGATGATTTCCAATAATATTCTAGGCTATTACATTCCACTTGAAGGCAATAAATATTCTTTTATAAATGGAATCTTTTTAGATATTAATGGAATATTGCTGGAATTAATTCTAGCTTTTTTTAGAAAAATATAGATTAACCTTCTGAATGTTCTATAAATATTGAAGAATATTCTTGGAAAATTCTATTAATATTGTGGAAAACAATAAAGTTTCTACAATATTAATAGAATGTTCCAATCTCGTTCATCAATATTTATAGAACAATCGCGAAGTTTTCTATATTTTTCTAAAATGTGTATAGAATGTTCCAGCAATATTTCATTATATCTAAAAAATCGTATTCTATTTATATTTGAATATTCATGTTCATCGGAATGTTTGTAGAAATATATCAAAATATTCATAGTAAATTTTAGAAAATTTTTCAAAATGTTTATAGCACATACTATAAATATTTTACAAATATTTGCAGAATGTTCTACGAATATTCTAAATATTCCACATTTATCAGAATATTCGGGAACATTCCACGCAATTCCAAATGTACTACATTTATTAGAATATTCGGGAATATATATACACATCCGAATTGACAAAATTCCATGAAATATTCATAGAACTTCTATAGAATATTCTGAATGACCCATGGAATATTAGGATACTTATTCAATGTTTATAGCACATTCACAGATAATTCTGTGCTGTATATATGCTGTATATAGAAATCAACATTAATATATAAAAATATTTAGAAGTAAATATAATTGTTTCAATGGAGTATCTATACACAGGCAAATATAATATATCTATACAGGCGAAAAAATGTCATTGGTCATTCGTAAAAATTTTCTGAAAGTTTTTCAATATTTAAGAAATTTTCTTTAAAGTTTTTATGCTTTATGAGAATAATTATTAATTATTAATACATCTTTTTTACTTCACTTTTAACTTTTCAAAATAAGTTGAATGGATATCAATCAGTTGAAATAGTTAAATGATATTATTTGTGCCACCAAATTTTCTGCGCACATATATTGCTAGTTAATTGTTTTTACTGTTGCGCATGTGCGACTCAGTCTCGCGCGCATTCTGTCCAGCCATCGCGCCATCGCGTGTCGCGTGTGCATCAAGAATCAAGAGCCGTACGTATATTGTTCAGTGAGCAAGTCTGAATGTGTTTCTGTCCCTTTTTGTTCTGATTTCCTCTTTGGGAGGCTAAGACTGCATAGGAATCTGCTACCACACCACTGTTTTGGTCAATATAAACAGGCTTTGAGCTTGCCAGTGTTAATAATCTCGAAGGAAGAAGGAAGGAAAGTATGTATAATCGTTCGTAAAAAATCTATTATCTACGTTAATTTTATGAGTACCAAGTAATTTTTAGAAATATGGTTTATTGTAGATAATTTCATGATAATTTTAATATTTTTAGATATAAATTATAGATTTAAATTTATTTCTAAATATAAATTCGTAAGACCTATAATTTAAGAGGTTATACACAAGTCACAGCACGTGTTTATTATATTATCAGTATATGGAAATAGAAAGTATAATTATAAAATACTATGGATATAAATTCATAAAAAAATAATTTGATAAGTTTGATTAGGTTATAAATGCAGTACGTTTAATTATTGTGTTAATTTTGCAGATGTTAATCATAATATATATAATTGTAATTGTAATATACATATATAATAGAAATGTTGCTTCTAATATATTAAAATTTATAAAAATTATATATATCGAATATATTATAAAGAAAATTAATGTTTAGGTTTGTTTTTAATTTTTGTTTCAGGTACTTAATATTATAAGACGTACATAAATAAAATATTCGTTAATGTACAAATGTGATATAATTAATAAAATATCTATAAAATAATATTTAAATTTTTCTTGCGAATTTATGATGAATTTCTAATTAATTGGTATAAATTAACATAAATTTGTACAATTTCAATTAATATTTATCTATAAAATGCCAAAATTAAGAGTAAAAGACATTTTAATCGAAAAATAAACGATAATATAAAAGCGTCGATGGCTTTAATTGAGTTACAAAGCCATATCAACATAATTGAATCGACCGAAATTACTTGTTCAAGTAATAAAATAATAAGTATCGATGAAGACGCGAGTACACAAATTAGCACAAGTCCTGATTTTCAGTTAATCAATGTATCATCAAGTGAAGAAATTCACGAAAATGTCGCTGAATCAAATATTTATGTCAACAATATCGAAGAAAATTTTCTAAATAATACATCTCTTTTAAATAATTTTATGGTATCCTTATATAGCGTTGATAATGACGAAGACATAATAAATTGTAATAATGATTTATCACTTGCGCAAAAAAAAAAGATAAAAATACATCACTGCGAAAAAAGTTAGCATCATGGTCCATTGAGGAAAATATTACTCAAAATAGTTTTAAAAAACTTTAGAAATTCTTCGAAATGAAAATGATTTGACTTCATTCATAATTTACCAAAAGATCCGAGAACAATGTTATCTACTCCAAGCAATCTTACTTCTGTAAAAATGAGCACTGGTTCTTTATTACTTTGGAATTGCTCAGTCTATTAATATATTAATTAATCAATGTAAGCATTCCTTCCTAATTATACATCTTTTGAATTAGCCGTAAATATAGATGGTTTGCCTATTAGTAAAAGCAGTTCAACTTGTTTATGGCCAATATTAGTTCAAATAAAGTCATTGAAGTTTTGAAAAATATGTCTTAATGGTAGCTCTATATCATGGTAATGGTAAACCGAAAAACCCGAATAAATATTAGAAGAATTTGTAATGAAGCAATTTACTTGATTACAAATGGAATTTTTATCAACAATCAAAAATACGATTTTAAAATAAAAGTTATAATATGTGATGCGCCCGCTAAATCTTATATTTTAAATGTAAAAAAACCATACTGGTTATCATAGCTGCACTAAATGCAAAGTGGAAGGTTATTTCGTTAATAATGTGTTGTGTTTTCCACAGAAATTTTATAAAGAGAACAGATACTGAATTTAGACAACAATATGATGAAGATTATCACAAAGGGATAACCATTTTGACGAATTTGCCTCATTTTCATATGATTAAAGACGTTATACTAGATTACATGCATCTTATTTGTTTAGGAGTGATGAAAGATTGATTACACATAAAAAAATATGGTTGGGTGTTGGGTAAACCACCATATAAGCTTTCACATAGACAAGTAGAAGTAGAATCGATTCAAATAAAATCAAAAGCTTAAATAAATATATCCCAATTGAATTTCCACGTAAAGGTAGATCGCTTGAAGAATGTCCTCGTTTTAAGGCAACGGAATTTAAACTCATATTATTATATACAGGACCCATAATTCTAAAACAATTTCTTCCAAAAAATAATTATTATCATTTCTTGACATTACACGTTGCTACTCTAATAATGTGTAGTAATGAATTCTGCAAAAAAAAATAGATATGATAAATTATGCAAAAGATCTAATAAAATGCTTTGTTGAAACAAGTATTAATATTTATGGTCAAGATTTTGTTTCTTATAACGTACATAATTTGTTACATATACATGAAGATGTCATACGATTTGGTAATTTAAATGAATTTTCAGCTTTTCCGTTCGAGAATTATATGATGCAATTAAAAAAAATGATCAGAAAAAAGAAAAACCACTTGAACAAATAATACGTCGTGTTTCCGAATATAATAATATTCCAAGATTAGAAAATCACTTTGAAAATAATATATTTTGCCAAAGAACATTATAACGGACCTTATTACCAAATTGTTTAGGTCAATATAAAGTATTAAATTAAAATCTTGTACTTATAAATTAAACACTGCTGATTGTTATGTACAAATGTTGGATAATGAAATTGTCAAATATGCAACATAACTTACTGTAATAATATTATTTGTATTATTGGGCAAACATTTCTTGAGAAAAAATCATTTTTATAAAACCCTGTGACTCTGCAATTCTAGGTATTTATATTGTACATCTTGACAAACTTAGTAGTTTAAAAATATATTCATTATTAGAAATTAAATGCAAAGCAATGTTGTTGCCATATAAAGATAATAATGCAGTAATTTTTCCTTTGTTACACATGTAAATAAAATTTTAATATTTTTTATACTGTTTTGTAATAAATTCCCTCAAAGTGCAAAACATTATTATTTTTAAATAATTAATTAATTATTAAAATTTTCTATCAGTTATCACATTAAAGTTCTATTAATTTCTGATTAGTGCTAAATAATGGTGTGATAGTAACGATTTAATGATTGCTGTTACTATTTTAATGATTGCTGTTACGTAGTAGTGCTTATCAGAATGTTGCTAAAATATTAACATTTTAAAGTATTAAATGTTTTATTATTAATTTGATTGCAAATCTAAAAAGAGATTTTAATTTATTATCTATCTATTTTTAAATATTCAATTTTAATTGATTCTTCTATCGCAGTCTTATTTAAATAACTGACAGTTTATATATGTATGTATATATTGCATTTTATGCATATATATTGCATTTTTAAATCCAACATTAAATAATTTTATGACATAAAATACGTAAAATAAAATAATAAAATATTAAATAATTTAATATTAAATAAAATACGTTCAATATAACCAGAATGAGAAGACAATGAACTCGTGCAATCCGTGCACGTTTAAATTTCTCTACTCGGTGCTGTATCATCTTTTGATTTCAACGAAAGTACCGACATTGAGTTGATTAAGTTGCATCATTGTGTCCAGCTTTTGATATGCAATATTGCAACTAGACCTATCTTACTGTGATGGTGCGAGGATATAATACGAGCAAAAAGTATATATACGTATATAACTAAACTTCATTATGTCTAAACAAGCTATTTGCATTTTTCAGAAATATGGAATGGTGTATTTGCCATTTTCAAATAGATGACTCTGTAGAAGTTGTCCCAAATATTGGATAACTGGTAAAAATCTATGTGTGTGGCCATTAACAACAAAACCATCTAAACTATTAGAGCTCATTAAAAGAAAAGAGATTCCTAAAGATGATTGGAAAACAATGAATATTAAAATTTTAGGACGAAATAGTAAATATTATACGTATATATTTAATATATTTAAATACTTTAATATATTTAAATTGCAATTTTTATGGTTATTTTAAGAATTTGTATATAATTTTTATAATTAAATGGTAGTACGTAAAACAGAATAAATGTAATAATAAAGTTGAAACAATTGCAACAGATCTTGTATAATTTGTTATGGAAAAAGATAATTTAAAATATAATTAATAGATAAATTTACGTTTTGTCTATATTTTTTATAACTTGGCTTTTCATTTATTTGTTAAAAATTGTTCAATTTATTAAATATAGCAAGTAGAACTTTATTATATATATATATATATATAAGATTTTTTAATGAAACATTTTTATCAAGTAACTATAATTTAACAGCAATATTTTTTTTCTAGACGATTATAAAATTGCTCAAAGAAAATGCAAAACTGCATTGGATAGAGATAATCTCTCATCATTATCTGAATCTGCTGAATATGAAAAAGGATGTCGTGTACCGAAACGTAAAAGACAGTACAGTGATACATACACAGATACCGATACGGAAAGCGATGAGTGTGGCGAAAAGGATTTGTCCATTAATTTTCCGACATATAAAGCAGATAAGACTGGTATTTCATCAAATTCGAACAATAATGTTGGCCAAGTCAGTGAGAGCAATAAAAAGCAAAATTCAGACAATATTTTAACTGAGATCCGTACTAATAAATCGAATAATAATGTTTACCAAATCGGCGAAAGTAAGAAGCAAAATTCTGATAATATTTTAGCTGAGATCCATACTAATTTTCAAAAACACGCAATTGAAATGAAAGGTAATATGTATGGAGAAAATATATGTTTTTATGTGTGGAAAAAATGCCTTAGTATAATATTGCTATAATATGCATACTTTCTAATTCACTTGCAAATCGTAAAATATGTTAAGGCTGTTTTGTGTTCATTATATGTATATATATTTTGAATTTTTCAGAATTTCAACGCCAAGTTCTACGACACTTACATAGCATTAATGGCCGCATGGGAGAATTAAATGAGCACGTAGAATCATTAAAACAATCTAAATTTCTCGTTGATCAAGAAAATACTAATCAAAATATTACAAATGAAGTATCATTACAATACATAGAAAATTTGCCAGTAAAATCAAAAATGGAGCTTCAAGAAATTGAGAGAACTTTACAAGATAAAGGAATATTCCATGATGTGGTAAAATGATCGTTATATTACTAAATATATAATTATATAAAAATTATATAAATAAATATAATAATATATAAATATAATAATTATAATAATATAAATATAATAATAATATAAGGAAAATATAATAATAATAGTATATAAATATAAATAAGTATATTTTATACAATAATTTTTGAGGCTACAGAATTGTCGAAAATGGGCGGTAGTAATTTACGAATTATTGTCAAGAAATTGATGTGCCGAATTTTAACACCGGAAATTGGAAGAGAATACAGCTGGGAGGAGGGGCACAAGGGGAACCTAATTTTTAAGGATTTACTTCTGGCAAAATTAGTCCTTAGTAAGTATACAAATAAATTTAATTTCTTTATGATATGTTTAGGAAAGTTATATTTTATTTTTTTTGTTTTAAAGTAATTAATACATAATTAATACATTGGGAATTCACACCAGATTCAACATTTTAGTGAAATTTGTGTTTAGAAATGTTTAAATTGCAGTAAAAAAAAGTTTTAAAGAAATTTGCTAGTATTTAAAAAAACAATCAAAATATAAGATTCCTTATCATTTCAGAATCGTAAGACTTACTACACGGAAAAGTCCTGTAATTATAACAGATGATGAAATTATAAACATCGTTAAAACTTGGTTGGTAAAAGCCAAATTAAAACAAAACCAACACAGCAAAATGAAGCCAATCGTTCGTGTAATAGCGAACATTAAAAATGTTAAAAGTTCTTGAAGAACTACTACTCTAAAGTACAAATTTAATAACCGTGATAGTTTTTGTGCAAAAAACAAGTATAATTTATTTTATGTTTTAAATATAATGTACTTCAGTAAGATTTTATCAATAATTATTATAATTAATTTTATTTTGCTTTAAAAATACGAATATTTTAAGTTTAATTCAAAAACTTATGGTAAAACTCTTAAAGTATATTATTGACATGTAAGGGAGAATAATGAAGATATATATGTTTTTTTTATTAATTTTTTTCTTTTAATTTTAAAGGAAAACAATTCACGTTTTCTTTTAAATTGATAATAATAATGATAGTCTTTATTTAAGATAAAAAATTGAAGAAATTTTTTTATTTAAGTATAAAATTAATTCTGACATGTATGAGAGAGAACAATTATTACCAGTAAAATTTTTTAAATAATGTAATAGTAATATATCAATATTATTTACTTAAATATATTATATATATAATTTCAAAAGAAAAAAGAAATACTCGTATATATATCGAAGATCTCAACTGAAATATATGTGTAAGCTTTATTTTAAAATATATTAATATTAAGAGAGAGAATTATATAGTTTTAAATAAATGTGTATAGATATATATATATAATCTTAAAACTTCAGTTATTAAATTTTACGTACCCCTTTTCTCTCTGTACTTCAATAATATTTATAAATTATAATAATATTTATAAATACAGCATAGAATATCCTATAAATATTTTTTAGAATATTCATGAATAATCTGTAATTATTCTTAGAATGTACATAGAACGTTTACTGTCTCGCATTGATATTTTATAAATATTATCGAATAATTTATAAATGTCCTGTGAATATTCCTGAATATATTAAGAAAAATATCTATTTCCAGAATATTTTAAAAATTTGCGTATCTTATAAACGTTCTATAAATATACATAGAATATGAGGTTCCGTTTCGAATGTTTCTACAAATATCTATAAATGTTGTATGAATATTCCGAAATATTTTAAAAAAATATAAAATATTCGGGAATATTTATAAAACATTTGTAGGATTATTCAAGAATAATTATAGAAATTTCTAGGAACATTCAAAGCGGGACATCGCACATTCCTTGCACATTCATAGAACATTCAAAAGATATTCACGAATATTCCAAAGAATATTCATAGAACATTCAAGAAATATTCCATGCTGTATGGGATAT